CAAAAAAGTTAAATTATTGCCTTAACTTAACTATTTAATTTTGTTGATTTTTTGCTAAGTAATGATACAAGTTCCTACTTTTCTGATAATTTTATTTCAAAATAATTAGATTTTTTAGTTTTTATACAATATTGTTTTGAAGAAGTTTCTTCATAAAATTGTTTTCTTAAAACTTATATAGGTACTAAGATGTTTTCACAAGTTTATGGAAAACTATTAGTTGATCTCACTAATATAAAACTCTTTGTTGATTTTATGTAAAACTATTTGTGTCCTCTCTGCAGGCTGCTGTTGTAATTTTTATTATACGTAATAGGTACTACCAACATTAATTAATTTTTTAATGTTAACCTACCTACCTTTTTGTTTTCCTATGAAAAAATTTTATTAGAATTTAAGTACCATTTGATTTCTTAAAAATATAATTAAAAATTAAGAAAAATTGATGCATTTCCTTTGGGGCAGCCCTGCACCGAACTCAGTTTTATATGGGAGTTTTAGAGAAACCTGCACAACTTTGCCTAGCATTGTAAAAAAAAAATTCTTGTGCTATTCAAGATTCAGTTAAGTCTGGCGTGCAAAAGCACTTTATGGCAATATGGGTGTCAAATCCGTTACCAAAATACCAATTCATTTATAAAGATATTATGACAGGCAATGTTGTAGATTTAACCTCAACTTTGTCTACGTTTTCAAAGCATTTTTTTGTGCTTTAAAGGTTTTTTTTACTATTAGCAAATGTATTCCTATAGCTTAAAGTCCAATATTGTACAGTAATTAGAAAAACATACGACTTTCTTAACTTAAAGATTTATCGAAGAAAAACGTCAAAATCCGTGCAAAGTTGCAGCATTTTACCAGTACTAAAAGTCATTCGTTTCCCCTTCATAGTTTTGTTTGTCTCCGTTGACGTTCCAACTGTTGCGCAGGGTTCCAATAGCATATATTTAATGAAGACTCGTACTGCTGCAATATATTAAAATAAAAGACAATGGTCTCAATTATAATCAACGAATATAATCGGCGATCACGGTGTCAGCTCGCGTTACACTCGCCACATTTGTCACCAGCTGGTCGGAGTGGGTTCGGGGACCGATGGGCTAATGTACCCGGTGTGGGCGCCGCTGACACCGCCGATCAATAACACGCATTGCTATAATTGGCGTCATTCAATGAAGTATTGTCGAGATCTCGTCACATCTCATGTGGGACGGAATTTGTCTGAAGTGATTTTTTTACTGAGTTGCATACAAAGACATTATTTCTAGATATACTTGCTTGAATACTTTGTTGTACCTCATGGCCGAGGTAGGCACAAAGAATTTCATTTTGCCAATGTAACTATTTTTCGTTTCGGGGTTTTGAGAATGTAGAGCATCGTCGTCTTCAAGTGATTACCACTGATTTACGCTAACATCCACAGCAAATTATACAATTGTACATAGAGAGCTGAACGAGCACATGCAAAGTGTCACCGATTCGGTTCCCACTCGAGAAGTTGCATGTTTGTGTGATCTGTAAGTTACCTTCCACGTCGTTGGGAGGAAAAACACTAAATTACATATAATTAACTAAATTTTTTTCCTTGCGTCAAAAAAATACAGGAAAGACTATTATCAGTAAGAAAAACAATATTAAAATAGACACATAAAATAATCATACCATTAGACGTGGATACTACCGTTGAGTTGCCGGATATCACTAAACTACTTATTGCGTTAACAACTTTTCAAATTAATTATGGGTAGGTAAAGATAAGTGTATTTTTTCCCCAAACGAATAAACTTCTCCAACTTCCTTCCCATTGTCTGGACCTCGAAAAGAGATCCTAGACCTCTAGTTTACGTTTAGCTCAAAATACATTAAATCATTTAATTATCTTTGTGCTAAAATGATTAATTTTATTTCTTTTCAATATATGTAGGTACATACCTGCGCTAGTTTACCTATAGCTTAGAAACTTTTTATACCGAGCTTGGCATTTTAGCGTTTATAAAGTGTAGGTCGCATGCAATGGCTGATCAGATCTGGTGGACTGCATATTTGACTAGACATAATATTACAAAAACTATTAGTGCAAGTGTAGTGGGCCGGTGAAATCATGGCGGGGGTGTAGCGGCGGCACGCCTTGCGCACGCGCAGTGAAAGGCCTACACTCGCCTATTACGTGGTGCATGTAAATACTTTTTATTTTCATAATGTAATCATGATGCACTCACATTTATGTGTGCATAACGCGTTAATGTTTTTATAAAATATCTTTTCTGATTTAAGATTAACCTCTCATTTGGCGCTTTATGAGACACAATAGAAAACAAATGGTGTCTCGCGTATATCTGCGTCCGGCATATCACGGGTTAATAACAAGACTATAAAGTATAAAACAAAGTTGCTTTGTCTGTCCATATGTGTTTGTTTATATCTTAAAAAGTACGCAACGAATTTTGATGCGTTTTTTTAAAGATAGATTGACAGAAGAGGATTTTTATATGTATAATACCGCCTATTAAATAGTGGATCCCTCCTCAATCCCTAAATCTCCAAATCCCTAATCCCTAAAAGGTCGGCAACGCACTCGTAACTCCTCCGTTGCGAGTGTCCATGGGCGGCGCTGATTGCTTACCATCAGGTAATCCGTCTGCTCGTTTGCCGACCTATTACATAAAAAAAAAAAGTGGAGAAATTAAGTATCTGCATGTCACCCGTAAGCCGGGGCGGGTCGCTTGTTGAAAATAAACGTTATTATATCTAATAAACTAACGAAATATTAAATTTTCATTTAAGTACGTTCTAAAATATTACCTTGAAGTACAAATAAACAGCAATAAGTTTTATTAACATTAGCAATTAATTCTCAAGAACATTGTTATCGCGAGAGTAAGATAACGACTGTCAACAACATGAGATCCTGCACTCATTCTGTTTCCTTATACACGCTTGAGATAATTATCTAGTATGTACTTGACATCTCATTAATATTTATGCGTTTTATTAAAATAATTGACACCAAAATGTGAGTTTACTCCTACTGATGGATGTGGGTCAGGTTGCGAACAGTGGGCGACTAGCAGTGCCTCGGTAGCTTGCACAGCGTAGATGCATTCACTTTGTTTATATCATAGTTCGGCAAACGAGTAGAAGGATTACCTGATGGTAAGCAATCAGCGCCACCATTGACACTCGTAATACCAAAGGAGTTACTACAAGTGCGTTGGCTACCTCTTATGGGTTATTAGTTTTAAGGATAAGCGATTTGATTATTAAAGATGGGGGGGAAGGATTGGGCCTCCGGTAACTTCACTCACACGGCGAAACACAACACTCACTCCCGTCGAGCCGACCCATTTGTGCCGAAGCCTGGCTCTCCCACACATACCACTCTTTGCTTAACATCAAAAAAATGTTCTATATTGACTAATTAAAGTTAGTATTTAAGACACATTCATACAAATATAATAGTCAAATTATTCATCCGGTGGCCTAATATTCATAAACGTAATGAAGCGTTGTGAAACAGGCCAGTAAGATATTTTATTCTTAGTAATTTTGACTTGTATACATCTAATAATAGCTCTCGGTGTGTACGTACTTAGCTACTGAAAAACAAGTATTTTTAACGAGTTACTATTATTATAAATGTGTGTGGAAAATATTTGGATATTCCTAGTACCTAGGTATACCTAATTAGGTGGTTGATAAGTTCTTTACATGGTGTTAAATACTGATATGGTTTATTTGGCATTCGTTAAATACAATAAGTAACCTATGGCCCATAAATAGATTGGTATATCTGTTTAACTAGCTAGAAATTAACCTACATTTTATATTGGGTAAATGGGAAAAAATATCCTCAAAACAAATGACGTCATTTATCATTATTTTATAATTTATAGAGCAACTAACTACTCAACTAACTAAACTATGTTAGTTCATATACAAGTCTGCAATAAACAGCAATAAAAAGTGTACCTAGCCGAGCTTCCGATAGTACGATATTTATTTCGTATTTTGGTGGAATCTCTCGATTGGACAGCGAATAGCTGGCCGCTTGAAATGGTGCCAATCATAGCAATCACGGCTACTTAGTAGGAACATTACTAATAGAACTACATTCCAATTGTATTATTTAAAAAAGGGAGCATTTATTTACTGAACGTATTATGAGGAAATGTTAGGTAACAATACTTTGTAGAGAAGAAAGTGTTTATTTTTGTACGTAACTTTAGTGTTGTCGATTATCTACAAAACTATATTTTATAATAACATTAATAGCTTTAAACATGCAAAAAAATATTATGTAATTATTTAATAAAACCACAACGTACACTTCAAGATGTATTATCATAAAATGAAATGAGAATAGAAAGCAACGTTACTATGAACGCGCTCCAAGCTACGAGCTACAAGTGACATCGACAAATATTCACGTCGCCACGCCAAATATATTTCAGTCAAGAATTTTAGCGCTATTGCTGAAACTGACGCACTTTTCACGTAATCATGCAAATATTAGACATAGCCACTTGTTTGTGTGTACGTATTGCTTTTTATAAATGTCTCTCTATGTTGATAATGTCATCAATTGTATTTAATTGTGCCCTAAACGTTCTAATCATAATTCACAAAGGTTCTGGTTGAACCATTTTAAATCGTACCAGATATGCAATAAAATATTTTGGGAATGATGCCGAGCTGTGTTTATCTTCATATATCAGATAGAAATAGTTTATATTGCGCCATAAATCGAAAAGTTTCAATAAAATGATAGTCTAGTCGTATTGATAAACAAGCCACATTACTCTAACTCATACGTAGCTGAAAAAACTGAGTAATGTGAACATCGCGTTACATCTGACACATGTTAAAGATTTATTGAATCAACTAGATGAAAACAAGACGCGTGTGCTAATTACCTCATTTACATTTAAAATTCAGTACGACTCAATAGAGTGCGGACGTTTGTCAGCTGTAGAATATGCCTGCCTAAATGTATCATCATCATGATGCATACGTGGATGCGGCCGGCGGCGGCCGGGAGTGACATTCCTGTAAGGGAATACCATATAAGGCAGGCTAGTCGCTGTCAGGTAATGCATCCTCGATCAGTGAGCGATTATAACGCAACGGAAGCGGCTGAAATTAGCAGCGCGCGCGCATCGGGCGGACGGGGCCGGTGCCAGCCGGGCCGCGCCGAAACTAAATACCCAAAAGCGTTTGTGATCGCGCGAGCGGTTGCCAAATATGGCACGAATCTCGGGTTTCGCGAGGCGCGCGCGCCGCGTCGCTGGCACACCACCAGCCACTGCAAAAACGCTCTCTGTTCCCGTCTAAAAACACGTAAAAAACGTTTTTATTTCTGTAGCGAGCGGCCTCTAAATTTAGGCCGTATGGAAACCGAAAGTAATACGAGCGATTTTGGTTGGGGCCGCGTTGTCTGTATTTAGATTAGAGCGAGCGGTGCGGCGCGGGCGCAGTGGCGCGACTCGCGACTCGGGAGTAGCGGCGCGCGACTCGCGACGCGACCTCCGCACCGCCGCGACACCGCGCTCCGCCGCGCGCCGCCCTGCGCCCGCGACTGCATTCTGTGAGCCCACTGTGATACAACATGCGCACGCGCTGAAAGTTTATCAATGAAAAGTTTCGTGTTATAAGTGATACAATAAAAAGGATTTGGATGTCACAAATGTTACCCGAAGGCGGAGGTGAATACATTTATTATTTTATTATTTACGTATCTATTTATTTGAAAATAAAATTTAGTTTAAAACGTGAAGTGATAACATTTAATTAAATATTTATAACGAAAATAAATGAAAATGGTTGTAAAGCTAAATAATATTTTCAAACTGAGTGAATTATTATGTTCGTCAAACAACATAAAGTTTCAATTTAAAAAAAAGCAAATAAATGTAAGTATAGTGAAGCAATAAACCAGTGTTTGTAGAGTGTTATCAATTGAACCTGTGGTGTAAAGTAACTGAGTGCCACCATTATCTAAGTAGGCGGCCGCGGCCGGTGTTTACCAAGTACCGCGGGGTGCGCGTGCGCAGCTATCTCCCGCGGCCGCGCGTTATCAGCCGCTGCGTGCGACTCTTATTGATTCTCTACTACACTGCGTTATCACTGCTAGTTGTTGACTGCTGCCTCTCTATTCAATAATACCATTTAAGAAGAGTTTACCTATACTTACCGCCCAAATATTTTTTTTATATATTTTATATGAAATTATAAATATTGGTAATACAAGGTTTTATTTAAAATGTCATCTGCCCGATGTTTTCCATAGTTGATATCAGTTGAAATGTTTATTTTGGTTCTATTTAGCTTTGAAATATGACTTATGAGGAATTAGATGTTAAGTAAACGTAAATTAATATTTTAATTAATTTAACAAGACGTCAGAGAACATTAGTGCAGTATCAATGTTTAAAAACTTTCTTCTTAAATACTTTGTTAACTGTGTACATTGTTGTAGTAGACACGATTGATCCAAGTATCTGTGCAATCTACTTACATAAGAGTCTGAGTGATCTTTTAGAGAAAATAGTTTCTGTACCCGTTACGATACCTTCAGATTTCAAAGAAATGAATGAATAAATATTCATTATTGTACACCAAAATAATAAAAAAAACATAGGAAACAACAAACACAATAGAAAAGTACGATTGGCGGTCTTAGATATCGCTAAAAAGAAATTTCTTCCATTACATTTTTACATCAATATGCATACAATGTGTGACTATTGAAATCTAGGTACCTACTTAGGTTAAATACCAAGTATTGAATTAGTCTGTACAAAAGTTCGAAAAAGAAATGTCTTCCACATCCTGATGTCACATTCTCCTTCATAGAGATCCGTGTCGAATTTGTCATTACTGTTATCTGTGTCATGTGTGCAGATCCAATCAATCTGTGTGTGCTTGTTGTTACCGAGCCGAGGCGGCGGTGTGGCCGCGCCTTATAGGGCCGGTGTCAAACTGTCAAATTGTCTCGCTACTGTAGAGTGCAGTATTCCGTGCCCCGTTGTGTAAACAAACAGATCGAGGTAGCTTCTGTTATCACTTGCACGGTTTCGGCGACGCCGAGGCTGTTTGCCATTATTTGAGCACTTGTTGCGGAGTGCGTGCCATCGGTTTTGTAAGTGGGTTGACTAACATTGCTGTTGAAATCTTTACTCAAATGGTAAACTGGTAAGCTCTTAGCTGCTTTTGTACCATCAACTATTTATGTCGACTTCTTAAGAAAAGTTTTATTGATCTAACTTTGTTTATTATTAGTAACAATCCAAACAGCCCAATAAAACACATTCAATAAATTTATCGCTAATATACATAACAAGAAAGCCTAAAATCTAATGATTCCACCAAATGCTTAATTTGCTGCCTCCAATATGGAAGCTGACCATAAAGTGTCGGCAGTCGGACAGGTAATATTGTTATGTAAAACAATAACACCAAAGCGGTATGTTTCGGTGGAGTGTTCGTAATTCGTTACCAAAACGGTGATAAGTCCGCAGCGTCCGCGGCGGCCGCCTCCTCGATATGATTCATGCGTACACTTTGCATTGCCCTACAAGGCAGCTATTAGCATTCCCTTTACGCCGATCTCAAATTAATAGCTAGTTGTTAACCCGCAGCTTCAGGTATTCGGATTTCGGAAATATAATCAAGATGACCACACTAAAGTAAGCGGTTGTTTAAATCAAACCGCATTCTTTGTTATTGGTGACGTCAGTTTCGTAGAACAAGTGGGTACTGGGTACAGTGAGTTGTTCCTTAGACCTTTTCCTTGACTTGTGACAAAATTATACCTTCAAAAAGAAATAATGACGAAGCTTGAAGTGAGGTCAACACAGTTTACATAGTTTGATTGCAATAAGTAACTAATACTTGAAAACAAAAATGAATATAAACAAATTTTATAGTAGGTACCTCATGTAAATCTCAATCTAAAGATGTCTGTGCATAATTAAGTAGTTGTTATTTGGATACTAAAATACAGCCGCTTTAGAGTGTAGTTGAAGTAGGTACGACTGAGGATTAAAATAACAGTGTTACATTCATCCTATACAAAGCAATGTGATGATGAAGAACTAGTTAAAGCAAACAATAGTAGATACAGAAAACATACGCGATATACGTATCTACGTATCATGGTGGTGGAAACACCATTGCAAACAGCGTAATTAAAAGTTGGCAGAAGTTGAATATTTTAGCGCCGGTCGGTGGTTCATTCATCAGGTGACATGTGGCACCACACACCATCACAAACATGGGGGACAAGTCGACATGTTACATGTTGACTGGAGACAGCATTATAAGTAGCAGTATTCGTGTAAAACAATGCCAAGAACCTGTAATCATGTAATTGTGTACATTGAACCGTTGGTTGTAGTGGTAGCGAGTCCACATGGCTTGACATGCAGCGTGGACACACGTACGGGAGTGACGTGACGTCAAGCTGGCTCGCTGCCAGATACGTAACGTCACTCCGAGTAAACACTCCGAGCGATGTACGGGAACCGATGACTCAGGTCCGATCCAAATGATCCAATACTGTTGTATACTGTGAAGTTACATATATACTTACAAAGTTTATAAAAACTTTCGTTTAAATTAAATAAATAATACTCGAACTTTTAACTTAGGTATAACTTTCCTGAGACAGTTACCTATCTACCTATGTACCTATATATTTTAATTACCTATTTCTATAACCATTTCACGAGGTGACTCGAGTTATTACAAAGCACACTAGGGATCATAGTAACAAAATAATTATTGTAATTAATGACAATAATGAATTATTACAATTAAATATTAAATTGTTTAAGTTTTTCACATCTAATTCATTTTCCTGAATGGGTAAAGATCTTGAAGCATTGTTTGCTTTATGATAAATCGACTAATATGCATACCTACCTACTAAAGTTGTGACAAGTTCAATTATTTCTTCCTCTTAAATAACGCCCATTCAATGTATTAGGTATATTAATCAATGACGCACATAGTTAAATGAATACACAAAATATTAACAATAATTACGGTATTTAACAAGGTACCTACCTAAATAAATATACCTACTTAGAAGTCACCCCTGACTGGCTGAGTCATTTTACGCACTTATTATAATAATATTCACAGTAAATTATTTCATTGTTTGTTTTCTTTAAACAATACAAGACCAATAATTAAGTAAATTACTGGACTATTTTTTATTTATTTAAAAACCGTCGATAATGATCGGTAACGAAAGAAAGAAACATTTATTCGCATAGGACATAGGTGGTACCAGATATTATAGTGGTGTAATTATAATTAGGGAAAATCTTCTTCTGTAATAAGAAAATACAGCATAAAAAGAAATTGCAGAAATTGAGAACAGAATTGTAACTTATTTCAATAAACAGATTATCTAAAGTTGGAAGCATTGTATTTTGGAGATTTTGTTAATGAGTCCTAGGAATATTCCTTATAGAGACTTATAACCTAGCACCGAGGCGGTACAAATTAGACATTATTTTAACAATTATTTGTCGCTTACTACGTAATACATCGTAAACGTAAACATAACTCTATGTAAGGCTAATGTAGGTTGCTTATTGAACAAACACGTACCTGTATGTCATCCAGGCACACGGATTCATTACCTACAAAGTTATGTACCACAAAACCTTCGTAAGTACCTACTCATGTACTTAGTACCTACTCTTGTGGTTCCTGCGTCATGTCATTTCATTGACTGTATTTGAGGAAACTCTTGTCTTTGTTTACATGTATAATATTGTTGAATTAGTAATTAAAACTTTATTGCTTTTATGGTTACGTTGTAAGTGGGTCGCAAGCGCGATGAGGAACTCATCAATCTTGCCTTATTTTAACAAGCTTATGAACGCAGTATTTCGTTTAGTACCTGCAGCGGCTGTAGGCGGATATCTTTTGTTCCAATTTTCAAAAAAATATACCCTATATGTTGTGGCTTACGCTGGTGTACAGCAAAAAAGTTTCATACAAATCCGTCCATTAGCTCTGTAGATTGGCGTGTGTAAACAGACACACACGAAATATTTATTTATTTTGTTTATCTTTTCTAATTACTGTATGTGAACCTTGTCACCCAATTTCCAAGAAAAGTTAAATTTTCTAAAATTTATTTTTGTGTTGACAACAGAGACCTGTTGATTGTACTTATACACATGAGACATTAATTATAAGGTCACCTTATATGTTAGGACGTATCATATTAGTGGCAATACTGATTGTAATTTAAATGTTTGCATAAATAAATGTGAATAAACCGTGACCAGCCTCCTCCAAAAATACCTAACAAACTCAGGCAGTTGAAGTCTTGAAGGAAATGCTTTGAATTAATGCCTATTGACTATTTTGTTATTGGGAATTCCGTATACCTAACTGTGTTTATAATAGTGTTTCCTCCTCTTTTATGGGCTGGGTTTTTGTACGATTTATAAGTTAAACCACAGCTCTATATCCTGCTTTACGAAAATGTTTCCCGCTGAAAGCCTACCTAGTAAATAGTAAACAAGTAGGAATATCCTCATTGGTATATGTGCAATGAGAAGGTACAATACACTAATTAGGTGCCTTAGTAACTACATTTCAAGATCACAAGATAACTCAGATCTAGACTCTATGTGCTTACTATTAAAGCTCCACAAATACGTTCAAATATTGCGTCTTTTACTAGTTTTTGCGACTGAACTACTAAAATACTGAAATGAAATCATCTGCAGTAATTTTAGAGGTTACTATCGATGTAAACAATCTAATTAATATGAACCAGATGTGACAGTTGGTCGGTACCATTCGCGTTTGTGAATTGTGATATCATTCCTATCCTATACCTAGATATTTATAACTATAGTGTTCATTTGTTATTTCTTCAGGACGGAAGTAATTCGCTCCACAATCGCTGAGACAAATTGTGACAAAATTATATCGATGACAAATAAAAATAAATTTTAAACATCAAATGATCACTGAAAAGGCAAACTCTGCATGTCCATAAGTATGGAGATAATCATGATATTAATAATATGTCCGAATATAGCGGTCGATGATCGCCTTAAACGTGAAGGGTTCTGTATAAATACAGTTTATAGCCGGTGCTGTGTGTTCCGAGTGACTCATATCTTATTGTTGTGGTTCGGTATCTGTATCGCGTACATCACGCGGAGATCTGTAGGATACAATATCGGAACATTTGTATTTAGTGAAGTTTTGTTATAAATATACACCCATTATTTTTACCTTTGGGATTCTTTCCTTATGGTTGACTGACAGAGGGTCACAACTCACAATGTCCGAAGCGTGATTCAATGCTATTGGGTAGAACTCTGATAGAACTGCTACTAGCAAATTTTTTGAAAATCTTATCCAAAATGGAATTTGAAGTGGAATGTTAGTTAAATTGTTTGGGATTGTATTAGCAAATACCACACACATATATTATATTGTCCGAATAGCGAAAGTTTTGAGTAGGTAGTAAACAATTCGTCACAAGATGTAACGGATACCTACTCTATGACTGTGAGAAACTGATCCCCTGCTGCCAACGCGCTGCTGCCTTTACACCTCATCCAATCAGAAAATTGCCTTGTTACGTGTTGCTTATAAACGATTCTGTACTGAGAAACTAGACACATTCGTAATTTGTTTACAATTCGATTTTATTTGCTTGATGTGCGGCGTACATTACATTAAAGTTAGTAATTTTGGGTTCAGTTTGTATGAACGATTTCGCTTTCAATAAGTATCTAGATGACATTGTTTAATAAACATATTTAAAAGGATTTTTTGTACCCATCTTAAAAGTATATATTCAGTGTTTGCTTAAACATAGATACCCAAAATAAATAATTTTAAGACAAATCGTGTCCTTGATTTGACGTCATGTCGATGTCACGGAATACCTAACATCATTAACTGGCTCCTCCCGCGTCTTATTCTCAGAATGTTAATTATCTCACTAATTCCTCGCCCACTCGCACGCTGGGTGGTATCGAAGACAAATATAAATGTACACGTACCTAATATCTGAATTAAACTCCTTTCATTTTAGGAAAGAGAATTCAGTGAATGTCCCTTCAATCGATATCAAACATTCTTGATATCCGGGCACACTGGGTACATCGTTATCGCAGATTATTGACATGTTTAACTTGTGACACAGAATGTAACAGTACCTGTGGGTAGATAACCTACATCCAATATACTGGGACGGTTGCGCTCGTTTCCTCACTCGGGTAAATGCTATTTATTATTATTGTTATTTAGTACATCAAACTCCAAGAGAACGCCGGCGTTCGCGCACCTATTGTGTCTCAGATTATCATTATTGAAAGATTAATGAATAATATAATAGATTAATAAATATCTCTAATAGTTTCAAAAGTATCCTACCTTTGGTTTAGTGAAAAAAATTATTTTTGACTTCGAATGTTTATTCAAGAAATATGTAGTTACTCCTCCCCTATCAAACATAGGTATCCATATTTTTAGATTGGGAAAAACATGACTGTTGCCGAATTGAGAATTGAATTGAAAATTGAGCACGAGAATATTTGAATAACTTTTAACACAGATTTAAATTATTTTAGACATATCTAAATAATATATGTACGTATGTAAGACAGTATTAAAGTGCATGCGGCGCAGGCGTGTCCGGGCGAGATGATTACAGCGACAGCGTCGCATCAGCTGAAAGCTTGTTGCGAAATAGGTGCGTGCGGTGTTTCAGTGGTTGCGCACGCGACGAACCATTCGCGGCGCGAGTATTTCGGGCCGCACTCGACCCGCCTCGGGTTTCACGCCTTTCTGCCGAACCCAACGTACTGACATACAAACACACTGTATTTTCGGCCATGAGGGTATGATAACCACAGCTAGAATAGTTCTGATGCCCCAATTCCGGCAAACTAATGGCTCGACGAGTAGCCATTTCTGCCGAATGTGTTTGCTGTTGTGTGAATTGGTTCGTGTTGACCGTTTCTTCATTATAGTCGAGTTTTTTGGATCAAGGACCTAGATTATCGAACTGGAATTGTTTTGGGTTTTATTTTCAGTTTCAGTAGATTATTTATTTTGCTTTTCAATAATTTGTTTACCTTTATTTATTAGGTAGTCGGGTCACGCGCACATTTCTAGCTGCTTCAACGGAATTTGAAACGCTCTCTGCTCAGTTGACCTCACTCCCGCCACAAGCATACGGTGACAAATTAGCACGAAACAGTTACTTTCGCGTAAAACAGTTTATGTTAATGCGAAGAATAAACAGAGCAGATGATACGTTTTAACATAGATTTCTCCAGCGGAGTAGATAATGACGTAACAATACATGATTTATGGCCTGAATGATCAGATGATGATCACCGCTCGTGGCTCGTACGCATGCATAGTAAACACCAATGATTTACGATACACACTATATTGTAGCGTTGCGCTCGGATTAATGAATGTATTTCACTTTACCTGACGTGGGCAGGCGTGAGCCAGCCGTGTACTAGCAAACACAAAATACACACATTTTTGTGTAAACGGTACATCGACGTTGAAGCGGCACTTACGTAATTCACAGATAGGATCAATGCGATTGCTTAAATAGTTTGTTAGTTTCTAAATAACTATTTCAAATATACTTAGATGGTATTTATTTATTTTTTTATGTGATAGGACGGCAAACGAGCAGACGGATTACCTGATGGTGAGCAATCGGCGTCGCCCATGGACACCCGCAACAAAGAAGGAGTTACGAGTGCGTTGCCGACCTTTTAGGGATTAGGGATTTGGAGATTTAGGGATTGGGGAAGGGAAAGGATTGGGCCTCCGGTAACCTCACTCACACGTGTTTCTTGTATTAGGTGTCTCTTGTGTAAAGTATATAATTTATTTAGCGGAAAATAAATTACAGTAATAGTTCTATTTCAATTATTCTGGCAATTTTATATTTATCTACTGATTGCTGTTACTTTAAAATTTCAAATTTTAATGTCGAACGGACACTTTCTATTAAATGTAATTGGCTAATGTATAAGACCTACTACCTATTGTCTAATACATTTAAGAACTTTGTATACATAAGCTGTGAGCCTACCTTTTTTCAATAAATAAAATAAATAAATTTCCAGTCGATTTCTAATACTCTTCTGTTATCTCTCTTTTCTACGTAATCCTAGTAAAGATTTGACCAATTTAAAGCACAGACACAGTAACAGTAATGCAATACAAATGTTGCATTATGCAGGTGTCCGTGCAACATGAACGTCCACTGTATGTCGTACTCACGCGACTGCTGTCAGCCGCCGTGGGCAGTAGCATGCAGACACGCGCCATGTTTGTGCAATCTGAAATTATACATTAGTAGATGCTGCCACTCTCTTAAAAGAAGGCTATGAAATGTTTATAATAATTTCAAAATAAATAACTTTGATAACACGCTCGAAGCATGATTTGGTGACCAACGTTAAATGTCAACACTCACTTTTTCTAGATGAAGGGGAAAGGATGTCTATATCTTATGAGTGTGGGTGCCTATCACTCTAAACTACATTTTACCTACTGGGCATTCAAAATGTACGACTATGTCTCGTGGACCTTGCAAATGTACTAACAGTCATTGTAAATCTAATATTACTTATAAAGCTGGAGAGTTTGTTTGAGCGCGCTAATCTCTAGAACTACTGATCCGATTTGTATAATTTTTTTTGTGTTTGCTAGAACATTTATTGAGAAAGGCTTGAGAGTATAAAACATCACGCTAGCTACGATTTGTAAGAGCCAAGCAGCGATTAAAAACGCGCGACAAAACCTAATGTTCTAATCAACGTAAATGCGATGGTAACCCTCATCGATGTCGATGGTCAGTGAGTTAACGTGTGTGTGTAATTGTTTCAGAAGTGATGCGGCGCGTGGCGTGCGGCGACGTGTGTCCCCCGCCCCCGCCTGCGCCGCTAGCGCTGCACAGGTAAACATTCCCACCCACTACCTGCGTATTTCTGTGCAACTCTTATTCCTAAATAATTTACGTTATAATCTATCACTCAAATTATTTATATTTTCTCATCTGAATTAACTGAATAAAGCTCTACTAGTTTCAAGTCACAGCGGGACTCTTATTCATGAGTAGCGTGCGCAGCGCACACGTCGGGCTGGGCGGCTTCGCCGCGATAATTACTATTTAAAAATAGATTGATCACTCCTTTGGAGAATATTGTAGAAGGTACCTATATACTATACACATAGGGCCGGCCTCGGTTAGCTGGAAATAACTATCTTTAATTTCTTAAGAGAGCCTATTTACATATTTGTATTGTATGGTCTACAGTATTTACTTAGGTAGCTACTAATAAGAAGCTGATGGCACTAATGCGTATCAGTCGGAACCTACATAAAGTAGTGAGGCAGCAGTGAGTCATCGTCATGTCTTGCGTTGCTCGTAAGCTTGCACAACGTCGCGTTATTGTCCAAACTCCTGCCAAGTTTCCAGGCGGACCTACTTGTTGTATTCCCAGACGTGACTGTAGGTACCTACCTATAGGGAATTCTCTACATCACGTGCTCCAAATTGAATTCTGTATTTGTTTTGCCTACAATAACAAAACAGTATTTTAACATTAAGTATATCTTTCTATTTTCAGGACATCGGAGAACAAAGAGTTGCTACGCCAGCAGCTTTTGTCGGCCAGCAAGGAGCGTCTTGAAAAACAGGAATCCCCAAAACCGAAGCACGCTCGAAACAGACAGAAGAACCGATGGAAACTGAAGTTCCACCACCAAGCACTGCCACAGGAGTACCTCGATCACTACGAGCAGAGCTTGCAGAAGGCCAACGCAGCTAAGCAGGCACAGCAGAAACAGAAGCCCGCAGAGAAGCCCAAAGTAGAAGCCAACTTTGACATCAACAACTTTACCAACGAGACGTTCAAGATCTGGGCGCAAAGGCTGGCGGGCATACAGAATGAGACCGGCACACTGACAGTGCCGCAGGTATCCTCCATGCTCAACATGGCCGCCAAGCCACCCAGCAAAGACGACAAGAAGAAGAAGAACCCTGCCATAGCTCCGAGCAAGATTGTCACGTACGACGACTTGCCGTACATGGGGGAGATGACTCTCAACAATTCTAAGCCAAGGAGAGGGCGCAAACCGAAGAAGGCAGACATATGCCACTTGATATACGAGAACTACGGGACCGTAGTGCCGGGACAACCACCCTCGGCACAAGAAAGGCTGAACCAACTGAACATGTGCCCACCCTTCAAAGGAGGAGACAACCCACCCACGAACAACCCTAAAACTGACTTACAGAATAAAATCATATCTAGTTTATTAGAAAGAAAGTTGTCACAAGAAAACAAGAAGCGATTAGAATCGTTGACTCCTCCAAAGTTCCCCAGTCCAGACGAACCGATGCCTGAAGCTCCAGTCACGATCGCAGGGCCTTTGCATAGTGATGATGAACCTTTGAATCTCTGCATCAGAGATCTCCACGATCTCAAGATACAAATACAAAAGAAGTTTGGGAACATTTACTCTTCCCTTCCAGAAGTAAAGACTGAAGCAGATTCAGAGAGCTCGGAGCAGGAAAGTAATAAAGCCGAGCATCCCCCCAACGCTATCTCAGTGATCCAGAGGAACACGAACCTGACGCCAGCGACAGGCAGCAGCTCGCCCGAGCTGTCCCGGCCGCGCAACGTGTCGCCCACTCTGTCGGAGCCCGCGCAGTCTACCGCCAGCCCCGACGGTGACGGCAAGTTCCCCGGGTACGTGTACTGGCCCAACGCCGGCATCTACATGCATCCCTTAGCGCTGCAGACGCAACTCTTGTATTACCAACGGCTTGCGGCTGCCGGCCAGCTATCGCTCAGTGCTGAAGGTGACAATAGGGAACCTACGTCCACGCCGAACAGTGTCAGTGAAGTGTCGGAGAATTCGTCAATAGACGACAACAAAAACAAATTAGTGCTCAAACAAATTTCAGAACTGTTAGACCCAAAAGTGATAAAACAAGTGGAAGACGCGAAGCAGAGCCCCGACCAAACTAAAATGAAGAGAGTGTCACCGAACTCTGCGCAGGGGCCGGTGAAAAGGAAGCGGTCGGCTATATTCATACCGCCGATGCCGACTAAGACCAACTCCACCACACCAACCACAGAAGTCAGTATTTGTAAGTTTAAGTTCACGGGAGGTTCCAAGCCTTCGCTACAGGAGAAAAAGATGCTCTCCGTCGACTCCGGAGGAAACTTCAGATACTACAGTGGCACGGGCAACAAGGGGAACAAGGGCTATGAGTACCTGCAGCGCGACTCCAATCAAGGCAAGAACTCTGCAACTGCGGAAACGTCCACATCGCAGCCTAAATTAGAAGAACATGGGACAGCTCTGAGTAAGGAAGATTTAAGTAAAAAGAAAAGAAAGTCCAGAAAGAGTCTGCAGAGAGAGAAGCTGGAGCAGACGTTCAAAGAGAAGGGGTTTCTGATACAAACCCAGCAGTTGCAGTCGGCAGAGGGCGCGACGTACTGCAAGTTCCGGCAACTGCGTAAGTTCACGCGGTACCTGTTCCGCAGCTGGAAGGATTACCTGCCCGGGGAGCTCGAGGACCAGGCCGCGCCCCCCACACCGCCCACTGCTCCCCCGCCCCCACCTACCGACCCCGCACCCTCCACAGAGTGGGGCTGACCCCGTGCATCCCGACCTCAACTAGGATGGACCCAGGCCCGTGCCCAGGGAGCACCAGAATGAAGGAACCTAAGATTGTACATAATTGTCAAGTAATTCGGATGCTGGAGGATTAACATGGCCGCCCAGCGGTCGATAATGCATTTAATAATTGTGTTTAGTGAGATTTCAAACTATTAATTTGTGTTATTTTGTTCTTGATTGCCACTCCGTCCATATTGAATGTTGATTGTTAAAGATGTGTCTTCGCTTCGTGTACAGTACTCGTTGTTAATTATAAGTTTGTTGTATATTGTTGTGTATGTTGTACTGAACTCCAGTGGTTGCTGTATGATTGTCAGACCGTGTCTACCTTCAAGTACTGAGAATGTGTATTTTAAAATATTAATGCTACTCACTCACAGGCCTATTTATTTCGTGTACTTATTAAGTCGAGATTTATTACATAAATTATATTACAGCAAATGTATAAGCGGTGCTATATAGTTGTTACTGTACATACTATAGATATATTGAGATACTAACAAAGCTAGTCACGTGACACCTCTAACGTAGCTCTAGGTACTCGTAGCGTAGGACATTCGGCAAACTGTACATATTCGCGAACCAGAGGCATTCTAGTCATTACGATAAGTTATACATTGTTACTGATTGCTGCTATCTATGTGTTTAATTCAATAATGTTGAACAAAATGTTTTCTTACTTTTATAAAAAAATGAAACCAGATGACTTGTATACAATAAACTTTAATGTAAAGAAAAAACACTTGATTCCGTGATTAATAAAATATAAAAAGAAATAATGAAAACAGGAATGTAATATACCAATTAAAACATTTAACCGAAACAATATCTTGTATGATTTAACAATAGACAAACCCAAACAAATGTATATAGACACCCGAGGCAGCTCTGCGAGCCGCGACAGAGAGATAACACTTTAGAATATAATAATTTGACCAACAGTTCTACATAATATATATCGAGTACAGGCAACAAAGTAATCACCCCGTACCAAGTAACAACGGGCCGCCGCAGCGGGCCTCCACAAGCGATACAAAAATAACTATAAAATATATTCTTACACACTAACCTTCAAAAATCCATCTAAAACACCTGCCTTGTGTTTTGTGCAAAAACACGTCACATGAACAAAGGCACAGAATATTTATTATTAAATATAAAGTATAGAAAAGATCTGCAATATATCGTAATGCGTGATTACGTGATACTTAACATTACATGTCCTTAGGAACTACATACAGACTGCTCAAGCTGATTGCTTCAATATTTGGACCATTTACTTTACAATACGGATGCTAACCGGAATGTCTGTCAGCGGGAATGTTTAAATTTTGATCGTGCTCACACGGCACATGAATGATTTCCAATTAGATTTTACATTTGATTGAGTCATTTTGTGCGAACGATTAATATTAACGAGTATACCATGATAGTTGGATGTACTTAGAGAATATGAAATCTATGTAAACATTGGGGGGTTCGATAGCCCCCAAGGTGAAGCTACGGATTTATCACAATAGAAAATGCGAGCTGGGCGTGGAGCTGGGGCCGGCACTAAGCCTTGAGCAGTCGTTGCGCGGCGGCGACGACGTGTGGCGCGGAGATGCCGTACCGGTCGAGCAGCGCGGCGGGCGGGCCCGAGCGCGGCACCTCGCGGACGCAGACGTGCGCCGCGATGACGTCACGCTGCAGCGCCAGCGCGGACAGCACGGCCTCCCCGAGCCCGCCCGCCTGGTAGTGGTCCTCCACCACCACCACGCGGCCGCCCGCCGCGCGCGCGTGTTGTTGGATGGCTGTCTCGTCCAGTGGCTTCACCGTGAACGGGTCCAGGACGCGGGCTTCGATACCTGCCAACGACGTAGTATGTTTTATATGACATGACCAAATATTACATCAACAACTACGAACAACAAACTAAACATCTTGATGCTAAAATATAAACCATATCAATCTTACCATGCTTAAAAAGAACATTAATATTTACAGACTATGCTTGCAACTACGAATATTCTTCTAAACATGACAAAAATTTGTTAATAACCTCACAAAAAGTTGACGTGAAACTACCACAGAGTTTTAATTCACCATATGAACAAGGTCACAGGAAGCCCAATCCTTAAATATCCGAAACCCTTATTCCTTAAAACTAGCAACAAACTCGTAACTCCTTTGGTGTTGCGGAATGTCCATGGGCGGCACTTACTGTTTGTTTTCCATCAGGAAACTCATTTATTTACAAACCCATGAAAAATATATTATATAATAGTATAGTTTACCTTCAGTCTTAAGTTTGTCGGCGGCGAGCAAGCATTCGTGCAGAGTAATTCCGGCACCGATCAGCAACACGCGGTCCTTGCCGGACTGACGCACTATCTTAGCTTGACCAACCTGGCACAACAAGTACATCGTTAAAGAAAGATATCATAATGTCACTTTGTCACATACTTACTTAGAAAATTATATTAAACATTACATATCGCAATATAACAGTTCTGAACGCAATTAGAACTGATACAAAATTCTAACAACAACCTTCAGGCAGGTGGCTCACCAAATACAACAACCAGTCTTGTGGAGGGAGGATGAAGAATTTTACCCATTTCAATATCAATTTCACCCTGTTCTCTCCCTCCAAACACTATTATAGAATACTAAAAAGATGTTAGTGAGTGAGATACAATAGTACAAGATAAATAGCATACCTTGAAGACCTCATCGTTGGGATAGAGTATGGCAGTGTTGGGCCTGGAGGTGCGGATGTAGCAGATGCCGCGCGTGTTGGCCGCCAGCTCCACCGCACGCTCCGTCGACACCGCGTCACTGGGGGGGGGGGGGGGGATTTATACACGATACCAACCAACAGAAACAACTAGCTAATGACTACACTAACACTAATTCTTGTGACGATTTTCTTCTCACTTAGTATAATAAATGGAGTATAAAGCTCTGATCGATTACTGTACTTACCATAAAAAGATTTTAAAAGACACTTCTTACTTATTACTAAACAAGATTTATCTTCAGTCTAGATTTAAACCATTGAGTCAGGATTTGTAAGACATTGCTCTGCTGTCAATTGAACACACAATAGAGTTGTCCTGTGTTGAGCTGGATAGGCATATTGTAGTATGTGTTTATAGGCCTCCTAACATGCAGAATCTAAATATTTTTCGCTCTGTAATGGAAGATGTACTGCGGAAAACATGTACTAGTAGTAAATGTACAATAGTATGTGGCGATTTTAATGTTGATCTCTTAGAAAACAATTCTCATTGTACAAACTTGTTAAGTCTATTTCAATCATTTGATTTGTCTAATGTTTTCCTTGAGCCCACCCGAGTAACATCCACCTCGGCAACTTGTATAGATAATATTTTCTGTAACTGTGATTATTTACAAAGTGAAATTGTAAATAGATTACCATCTGATCACAGTGGGCTCACAGTTAACTTTAATACTATAACAACTGTGCCAAAAAAGGAAATATTGTTTAGACAAATCACATACAAAAAAATTGACTCATTAAATAATAAGCTAAAACATAAATTATGCAGCCAAGTACAAGACAATAATTGCCCGAGTGAGATATATGCCAATTTATTATCCCTTATAAAAATACAATTCGATAAACTATTTCCTTTAAAACGTAAAAATATTCAGTGTAAATTTGTATTCTGTGACTGGGCTACACCAGGTATTCGTATAAGTAGAGACAGGTTATTTGAGCTATACGGCCTGAAACCATTTAATAGTAGCGAGGCTTTTCGCAGACATGTTTCCAAATATTCAAAAATATTTAAAATAGTATGTAAGCATGCTAAGTCGCTCCACATTAGTAATAAAATCAGGACCGCGGAAAACAAAATAAAAGCTACCTGGAATATAATTAATAAAGAAACAGGTAGAAATAAATCACAAAACACTGAATTTAATTTAAAAACCGAAAAGGGATATACTAGTTCAAATTCGTCAGTTGCCCAGGAATTCGAAAGATTCTTTAAAAATATTCCTCTTAAAACTACGGAAACGTTAAAATCATCTCCAGCACTTTCTGTCGAGCTTCTCAGGGGTAACGTCAAAGAATGTCCTTCTGACTTTAGCTTTCAATACACAACCCCCCAGGCAGTAATAAAGGCGTTCAATGAGATCAAAGTAAAGTCAACTGAAGATCTTTGGGGAATGTCTGTTCGAGTGTGCAGGTCGTTTATAGAGACAATTGCGCCGCACTTAACTTTCATTTTTAATAAAAGTGTAGATCAAGGGGTTTTCCCGGATTTAATGAAACATAGTAAAGTAGTTCCATTATTTAAATCAGGTGATAGTACAGAACCTAATAACTATAGGCCGGTCTCTATTTTGCCAGTGCTCAGTAAAGTGTTCGAAAGGTTGATGCTTACTCAAATGCTGCGTCACTTTAACACGAATTGTATTTTCCATGACCATCAATACGGGTTCACCAAAGGACGTTGCACTACGGACGCATGAGTATCACTTATAAAACAAGTTTTCAACTCGTGGGAAAAAGCACAGGATGCCATCGGAATATTTTGTGACCTTTCAAAGGCATTCGACTGTGTTGAGCACGAGACGCTGTTACTGAAGCTAGAACACTACGGCATTCGGGGGGTATCCCTAGATTTATTGAAATCATACCTTCAAGAAAGAAAAATTAAAGTACAAGTCAACAAAGTTAACTCACTGGGTGCTAGCGTATCTATGGGCGTACCGCAGGGCTCAATATTAGGTCCTTTTCTATTTTTAGTTTATGTAAATGACCTGCCCCATATGTTCCAAAATGAACCGCATATGGTATTATTCGCTGATGACACTTCATTGATTTTTAAAATAAATAGACGAACAAACAAATATGACGAAGTTAATAATGCCTTAATGAAGGTTCAAAATTGGTTTACAATAAACAACTTATTACTAAATGATAAAAAGACTAAATGCATTAGATTTATTTTACCAAATGTTAAAAGTAACGTATGTGACGATATATTAAAATATGTAAAGCACGAGCACATAATTAAAATATGTAAAGACGCTAGCAAAGCTTTAGGTTTCGTAGTCAGAATGTCCTCAAGTTTTAATAACCTTAAAACCATTAAACTTCTATACAACGCATATGTCCGCAGTAAGCTCGAGTATAATTCAATTGTATGGGATCCACAAGAAAAGTTATATAGCGTCATGATCGAAAAAGTGCAACGTAAGTTTGCACGTTTCATATACAAACGCGAGCACGGATATTATCCATTTTTATACCCTTCAATATTTGTCAGTGGTATGGGCCCACCATACCATACATTAGACACGTTGGAACTCAGGAGGAAACATGTACATATGTTGCATTATTACTATTTATTAATTGGTAGAATAGATAATCCATCTGTACGTGAGACCATTCATTTTTATGTTCCCGATAGATATTTACGTGGTTCTGGTAGGAGGCGTCACCGGTTACTTGCTTCTTCACCGAGTTGGCGCTCCCCTCGCGGTGGTAACTGTCCTACAGGTCGGGCGGTTCCTATGTTGAATGATTTCCTACAGCGCAACCTAGATGCAGACTTATTTTTTGATGGTGTCAATATTATGTCAAGACACATTTTAAGATATTTAAATAATTTTAATTAATGTTATTCTTCTTTTAATTATAATAATTTTGTCAAATTAATTTTATTTTTTCTATGTAAATTTTATTGTGATATTTAGTATAACATGGTAAATTTGTATAACTGTGATAATTGCAAAATATAATCTCATTGATGCACGTAATTTAATGTAAAGTAGATATACTAGATTTTCATAAATGTTTGTAATTTAATTTAAGATAACATTTAGACGACTTGGTCTCGTACTGTAAGTCTATTTTGTTAAAGTTATAAATAAATAAATATTATTAAATGATCAGAAACTAGAATTTGTAAAAGAGACTACTTTCCTGGGGATCACTGTAGATGAGAAGTTGCAATGGGGGCCCCACATCAGGTCTCTAGCAGGACGATTGAGCTCTGCAGCTTATGCTGTCTGGAAGATCCGTCAGCTAACCGATGTAGGCACGGCAAGACTAGTGTACTTTAGCTACTTTCATAGCATCATGTCGTATGGAATTCTGTTGTGGGGACAGGCATCTGACGTTGAGTCTATCTTTATCTTGCAAAAGCGTGCCGTCAGAGCTATATATAACTTAGGTCGTCGCGAATCTCTCAGAGAAAAGTTTAAGGAGATCAACATTCTGACCGTACCAAGTCAATTTATTTATGAAAACATTATGTATGTTAGGAAAAACCTACACTTATTTGTAAAGGTATCTGACAAACATGATTATCATACTAGATATAGGAATAGATTGAGTCAGCCTTTATTTAGATTGGCAAAAGTGCATAAGTCATTCCTGGGTTTCTGTGTTAAATGTTATAATAAAATCCCAGTTGAAATTCAAAATCTAAATGAAAGCAAATTCAAATTATGTATAAAGAAACATTTATGTAAACTAGCATACTACAAACTAAATGATTATATACAAGATAAAAATGCTTGGAGGCTAGCTGGTCCTACTCCACAGGATGTTTAGAGGAATTTTTGATTTTAATTATTAATTTGTACACTATGTTGTTAATTGTTGATGATCTTCTAAGTTTTTGTAAATGTGAGTGCCCTGTAACCTATTATAATTAAGTAAGACTTGTAGAATATAGGTACTTGTGTCGGCTGGGAGCTGTCATGCTCACTCAGAGGTCTCATTGGCCTCATTGGCGGTGGCACGGCCACTGGATCGCCCAATTCCCTATAATATGGTTGAGTTGGGCGGTGCTGGTGTACGTGTCATGTTCGTGAACGGGCGCCGCCTATTGGGACTGGTCATCTCCAGGCTGTCTAAATATGTTGTCCTTGAGGTTCACTTCTTTTTCGTACTTTTTGCCTGAACATTAGTGTTACATTGTTCTCACATATCAGAACCGACTAAATTATGTAACAAAGAAATGTATTGTAAAACTGATTGAAAAAGAGTAACCATGGAGTTTCTTGCTCGTTCTTCTCCATAGGAATCTCCACTTTGGAACGAGCAAATAGCTTCACTAGAGGACAGACGGACAGACTGACACGCTTAATTTTAAAGCTCTTGTTATATACTTTTTTCCTTTTTTGCTTGCTTGACGTTCAAAAGTGCCTACTGTGGTCTAATTGAAATAAATGATTTTTGACTTTTGACTTTTATATTGATTCTTATTCTCACTTTCTTTCCTCAAGTTTCATGGTTCAAACCTAGGCTAAAGAAGGACCTTGTTTTGTAATAAGGCTGTTTATGGTTACAAGCTTCCATGATGGTAAACTTAGACAAGAAAGGCTTTCTAATAGATAAATGTATACTCACGATGGGTAGAAGACGGTGGCGGTGGGCACAGCTCTGAAGAGAGCGAGATCCTCCAGCCCCATCTGTGAGGGTCCGTCCTCTCCGATGCTCACTCCGCAGTGGGAACCGGCCAAATTGATGTTTGACTGACTGATGGCACCCATACGGATCTGTCGACAACATTTTGTGTATGAGTTATGTTTCTTTAAGAAATTGATAAATATCTGTGAAAATTGTGTTATTTAACATTCTATTAACTCGGCTTCTCACCAACTGATGTTTTATGATAGAGCGGTAAACGGCTAGACAGATTATCTGATGGTAAATAATCAGCCATAGGCGCCCGACGCCGCGACCGTCTTTTGGGGATAAGGGTTTCGGATATTTAAGGATTGGGAAAGGATAGCAGCGGGGGAGGGAATGGGCCTCTGGTACCCTAACTCACACGGAGAAACAACGCTGTGGTTGTTTCATGTCGTGGTATCACTCCGATCCGAAACGATTTAAACTCAGTATAAAATGCAATAAATGAGAGTTGAATATTGCAGAACCAAATTAATGTAGTATAATACCTGATCGAAGGTCCTAGTGAAGAAGGCGGCGAAGGTGGAAACGAATACGACAGCTCGGTCGCGACACGCCGCGCCGGTCGCCACGCCTACCAAGTTCTGCTCCGCGATGAAACATTCGATGTACCTGTATAAATGTTAAATAATGATTATTACACTTGAAACTCTGGATCTTGAAGTAAATGTAATCATTTATTAAAACCAAATATTCAGTGTAGGAAATATGCTCCCTGAGATGGTGTAGAGATAGGTTCTACTGATATTGTTAATATGTTATAAGTAAATCAAGAATTGAAGTGCATACATTACCTGTCTGGGTAAGCGTTGCGCAGCTTGTCACTGAAGGTCGAGTTCTTGGTGTCACCATCCAAAGCAATCACACTGCACAAACAGAAAGAAAACAATTACTATTACATAACACAATACATACTATAATTTATTTATGTAAACCTTTATTGTTAGGCAACTATGGCCTATAAATATATTTAATATTCCCTGATATTCTTTTATTATATAATAATGATGCTAGTTAGTGTTAGAACAATGATGCCAGCTTAGTGAAGTAGGTCATCTGTATGTTTATTACACTTGGATAAGAGTAATTTCATAATTTCTATGTTGATAACGAACACAATAGTGGTAGGTACATGTAGCTTTCTGATAAGTGGTACAGATTCAGATCATTATTAGATTTATTATAGTTTTTAACTATATCGATCTTAGTTGTTGTCAGTTTAGCAGATGGCGCTAGCGTAGCTTAAGATCCTGTTGGTTCAATCATTGGTGTATTGAACGACTGATTGATATTGATACTACAGGCAAATTTTAAATTGGACACAGATCTTTCACTTGTTCGATAGTATTTTATTGTATTATAATGTTTTGTACAGTACGTGAGACATACCGCATGTTAGTATCGGCGATCTTCTTGAGCGCGGTTCCGTACGCGAGCCTGGTGGCGACGAGTTCCCCGGCGGAGTACGCGGGCGGCGCCGACAGCGTGATGTCCGCCAGGTGCACCCGCGGGGCCTCCGCCAGCGGCGCGCGCGGAGACAGACTGATCTTGTTACTCTTGATCTGCGACTGCAGGTACTGCGGGAGACGACGGTACTTAGCTATTACGCTGATTCATACATTGGTACAAAGGACTGAATTTCATCAATATATAAACTTGCGACGTAAAAATGAACGAACTCAAACTCTCGTCATATTGCGTGACTGAATAAGACCCAATACTGACAACACCGTCAGATAAAGACTAAGGAGGTTACATATCTTGAAAAACAAGTTAAAAAATCATTTAAACATATTTTCCTCCAATTCACTAGTTCTTAGGGTCCCTACAAAGACAGTTTATACAACACCTGTTATGTGATTACTTACATAAGTAATAAACATGAAACATACTTGTTCGAATGCTACTGCCCACATCGGCCGACAGCGGTCGCGTGAGTACGACAAACGTTTGTTGTTGCACCAACTCTACATAGTACACGATTTATCTATGTACTATTATGTGATATGAAGTTAGTGCAAAAAGGGGTTAATTGTCTTTGCAAAAGACACTATTTTTATTCAACATAAGACACACACAGTAAGCAATAGGCCGTCGATAAAACCACGCAAAAAGCGTCGAAAAATGCGCAACAAACATTGTGTATAGACCGTAACTTGTGAGCTATGTTCAGCTTACCTTGATAACCTTCTCCCCCTCAGCTCCGAGAGCCTTTCCATGCCAGTTCTCCAGGTCTTCGATGCCAGGGAAGTTCTTTCCCTTGAATGTCTTGGCGACGATGGCGGTGGGCTTCCCGCTGACGGAGGCGGCCTCGTCGAACGCCTTGACCAGCTCGGACACGTCGTGGCCGTCCACCACCAGAGAGTGGAGACCGAACGCCTTCATACGGGCGTCGTACACGTCCAACTGGGGGAGAGGGATTTTGTGGTGTAGATAATTTGCTATTTATTAGACCAGAAATTAATGTAAACATTTAAAAGTAAAATATAATAATTATTAATTGCAAAGTTTATGCAATAATATGTTACATTGACAATCAAGTTGCTTATTGAAATACTCGATTTCCGGAAATATTAAAAAAGAAGCATATTCGAATTGAGAACCTCCTCCTTATTGGAAGTCGGTTAAAAAGAGGTACAAATGAAATGATCAGTTTGATTTAATTGTTCTCTGTCTGAATATACAGCTATACCTACATGACAACAACAAACCTAGTAACAGCACACAATGTTATCTAATCAGTACCTCAGTACACTACATAATGTGGAACCAATGCAATGTATTAGTTATGGGCTTACCAGTGAACCTTGTAATCACTAAACTGGCAGTTAGTGACTGTAATTATTTCATTATGAATATAAGACGTTTTTATTTGAGTGTAGGAAAAATAACAGGTTTTGATATGGAATAAGGATCATGCATGCTCTTCACAACCCGCTGAGAGTGTTACTACTATCTAAGACTCATCGAATCTGTGAGGCTTCTAAATCTGAGTAGTGCTGTAGTTGTAAGTGTAATGTTGTACCTGATGCTGCAGTGAGGTGGGCTCGGACTGTCCCAGACGGTTGACGTCAAAGATGACGACCAGGTTGTCTAGCTTGTAGTGGCTGGCGAAGTGCAGCGACTCCCAGATGCTGCCCTCGGCCGCCTCACCGTCACCCACCAGGCAGTACACCCTGTGTAGATACATCATGTGTTATAGTACCAAAGCCAGCTTCCCACTCAATGTTACTGCAGTTTTGATATTAACACTTGCCACCTAGACCCGAACCAACTGTTTACGGATCACACAAAATGCGGGAATCGAACCCGCAACAAGTTGCACAGCAGACTGATTTTATTTAAAAAAAAGTTGCCCGACACTACTATTTCCTCCTGTGACCTAGGTGCGTTTACAAACATAGAATTTCACATACACATTACACCCAGACCTGGAACAACAGTTTGTGGATCACACAGAATTGCTCCGTGCGGGAATCGATCCCGCGACACGCTGCGCGGCAGCCCAGTCACCGCGTTCACTGTTACGCTAACATGAACTGACGGCGTAAAAAAACTGGACTTAGTACTTAGTAAATTACCTGTAAGGAGCCTGGTCGAAGTACTTCCCGACGTAAGCCATACCAGCGGCTACAGCAAGACCCTGTCCCAGCGAACCGGTTCCCACGTCCACGAAGTTCAGACGAGGAGTGGGGTGGCCTTCCAGGTCTGAGTCCAACTTGCGGAGGTTCTTCAGCTCTTCTACTGGGAAGAGACCGGCCTCAGCCCAGGCCGCGTATAGGATGGGGGCGGCGTGACCCTAGGGATGGAAATAAGATCATGTAGGTCTATTTTGTTTATTTTTTAATGTAATCCAAACTAATATTATAAATGCGAAAGTAACTCTGCCTGTCTGTCTTTTCATCACGCCTTAACTACTGACCCGATTTCTGTGAAATTTTATACAGGCATAGTTTGGAACTCGAGAAAGGACATAGGATAGTTTTTATACCAAAAGTTTGCGATAAAAGAAAGTACTGCTACATATTCTTTTTTATCATGCTTGCTCTGGTCTATGTTTCCTTTAGTTACGTGATAACTCTACGCAATAAACTTTAGGCATTTTCTTTCGCGGAGAAGATTAAATTCACACAGAATTAAATGTACCATCTTGACCTAAACCAGGATTTCCTCCCGTGTGCGGAAATCGACACGTTGCACGGCAGCCGGTTGGCCAGCCGAAATAGCCCAAAATAAATATAAAACAATGATAGCCAGTGTTCACAATACGACATCAAGTACATATTTAGCGCATTATGGTAATCAAGGCAGGTAGAATAAATATTTATTGTCGTGTCTTCCAACACGCAACATTGACTCCGCAATGCGAAACCAGGTTCAGATGGTTCACGTTCCCACGATTACATTCATTAGTATCGTCTTTCAGTGTGAAAATTCTAAAATGGACTGATTTTGGACTCTTTCACAAAACTTTTAAGTTTAAAATCGATGGAAATAATGAAACAAATCGAGTTAGCTTAATATGCTCGCGTTTAATTAATTAAAGTTACATGGTACAACAGTATGACTACGTCGTAGGTTGAGTGATCGCAAGCGTGAATTTTATCTCTTACAATCCGTGTCCGGATCCAAATTCCTGGCCGAAAAACTCTGGATTTTTCGATTTATCTACTACTGAACTGTCGTGGTGGTCTGGAGGTTAAGGCGCTTTTAATGCATGATGGTTCGAAACCTGACTAGTACTAATGTGACATTTTTGATTATTAAGTAGATACCGACGTACGATGAAGGACAACCTCGTGAGTAACCTGATCTTATAATTTTTAACTTTAAGTTTTAAATCGACAATCCGTTTTGATCTAACTTGGTTTTTAATGCTCAAACCTCTTTGTGTGAGAATAGACCTTTACAATAACACTTATGGTAAGCAATGCGAATTCTTTAATCTATCACATTGATGTAATAAAATAAGTTGGCGAAAAGCGCAGTGTTAAAGTAAACGCTATGAATAATGTATAGTACCTACCAAATTCTTAGTGTTTAATTCTACACATACCTTGGATAGAATGAACCGATCGGCGGAGGGGTCCCTGGGCGCGGAGATCTTGTACCGCATGGTGTGGAAGAACAGGACCGACATGATCTCCGCCATGGACGCGCATGATGTCGGGTGACTGTCGACAAATACATTTGCTAATTTTAAAAAGCGGAAACGGCTATCATATTATTCCTTTCTATTACATTTTAAATAGCGCTTGAAGCAAAGTATATCAAATTACACAAATCTGTCACGAGTTTTTAAAACATATCCCTTTCTAATAAAATGTACAGGTGTGGCAGTTGATAATAGTCATTAGAAGAATACTTATAATGTAATCAATGTATTTTCGTATTCAAGGTTAGGTAGAATTTACGCATGAATTGCAAAAGAATACCTTTTTTGTTGATAAACGTATTCCAATAAGCACCTACTCTTTTTTCCTGTTGGGCACTTATAAACATACAATTTCACAGATAATTATTTCTGCCGAAATCAAACCCGCAGTATGTTGCATAGCAGTAAGTTGGCAATCAAGCCATTGTTCGAACTTCGAACCTAGCAATCCAAGTAAAAGTTAATTTAGTACTTTGGGCTTATATTAATAATTTTCAGTTCTACGAGCTACAATAGCTAGTCGATTGATGTTACCAACTTATTAACGTAGAAATCTCCAATAAGATATTTGCTCTGAGCGCTTATTGTAATTATTCCGAGTAATTAAAATACACTCGAAATATCTATGTGTTATCTTTTATAATTGAGTAGGTAATACCAGGTTCGCAAAGATAGGCAGACATATTGCTTAACAACCAGTCCACATCATTATCGTATACTTAATATTAATTAAATAATACATCATTTTTTTTGGAGAAATCGCATTCTGTGAAATCTCGGAGCATGACTGCAAGTGATACAGACCGCGACAATAGGTACCTACATCTAGAACTACACAAACATTGCATTATCTTAGCTTATTATGTCTACCTTTCTACCTACGGTAACTACCTAGATATGTATTGTTTACTTATGTAATCATATTGCGAGTTGACTTTCGCAACTTAATAAAATCTGAAATGTGCACAGAGTGTATGTATGTCTAATTTTCATCTGTAGACAGCTTATAAAGTTTTATTTATTTAATTTATTCTTTAAAAAAACGTTGCCCCACACTAGGATTTTCTCCTGTGTCGTGGGTGCGGTTACAAACTTACAATTTCACATGCACATGACACTCAGACCCGGAACAACAATTTGTGGATCACACAAAGAGTTGTTCCGTGCGGGGATTGAACCCGCGACACATTGCACGGCAGCCAGTTGCCCAGCCACCGCACCAACCGTGCAGTCAAAGTAAAGTTTGTGTACAATTCAGGCCTAAAGTGACTGGCCGCCATTGGTTTTAGTCAGTACTAGTGCCTGACACTCCCTTTCCTCCACATTGGGTAGGAGGAAGTCCTTTGACGATGTTCCTTGTCATTTCATGACCTTCACAAAAGCCATGACAACCTCTAAGTTCCTCAAAATAAGTGTTGAAATCAAAATTCCTACAATCCGGAGCAGGCGATCGCTTAGAAAGACACTACACTAACTGTACAGGCAATATGTATAGTCGAGCGTATGTGTGTAGGTACTAGGTATAACTAATGATCCTTTTTCCGAAACTAGGTTGAGGTTGACAAGTTTGTATTAAAATAATACAAGCCTACCAACGATTTAACCATTTAGAACAACCTCCTAACCTAACCGTATTTGTACGTTTTTATTTTATAACCGATAGGTACATAAACAACAGTAAACTGTTTCGGCCTTATTATAAAACAAGGTTTTACTTTAGTCTAGGACTAAACCATTGAGCCAGTTTTTGTATTTCGAATTGAAGGTAGATGACAATAAGATTCAAAATTCAAAACCCGACTCAATGGTTTAAACCTGGACTAAAGATAAATCTTGTTTGTAATAAGGGGGATTAAGTTCACCAAGACTTTGACCGAATCGTAGTAAAATACACAAGAAACTAGCTTTAAGTACACTTATGAAGTTGTAATACGTGTATGAATGCTACTGCCCACGGTCGACAAGAGGTCGGCGTGAGTACGACAAACAGATTGATGTAGCACCGTCACTGGACGCACGTCTATATAAGATCGTGTGTCATTCAATATCTGGTGCTGACTAGTTATACTAACTTATTGCCGAAGCTAAATGATTGAATATAGCTAAATAATGAAGGAAACTATGCCTTTTATTTCCCGAATAGGCTACATATAGCTTAAACACAGCTCGTCGGCAGTTATGGCTATTTTATACTGAATCTTGATGCAAAGATAATAATCGGCATGCCCATTTTCCATCGCTCACGTTTACAATTAAGACTTAGTGCTATTCATAAAAGCGTAACTCGGAGTCGGTATTAAATCCTAAACGTAGTACTCGATACTATACTGCATGTAATCAGGGCTCTTCTGACACTATTTCGTAGAAACTTTGTTAATAATATGACTTGCAATCGCGCCAATATTAAGTATTAAAACATTACTGTTCTACTTAACAGTCGCGCGGTAATCGTCAATCGTGTGACCATGACAACCACTTATTTATGATGATTAACACAATACAGTACTTTTATAAGTATTGAAAGTGGTCGTGGTGGCCCGGAGGTTAAGGAGCCCGCTTCTCATGTATGAGGGCGTGGGTTCGAAACTTGGCAAGTACCAATATGACTTTTTCCGAGTTATATGTACTTTCTATGATTATTTAGACACCACTGACATACGGTGAAGGTAAACATCGTGAGGAAACCTGGACTTATAATTTCTAATTATAAGTTTGAAATCGCCAACCCGCATTGAGCAAGCGTGGTGATTAATGCTCTAACCTTCTCCGTATGAGAAGAGGCCTTTGCTCAGCAGTGGGCACTTATAGGCTGATGATGATGATGATGATAAGTATTGAATAACCATTTATTTCGGTGTTTAGGCAGTGTAAGTAAAATAATGCTCATTCATACTTAATCTTATCATGATTTCTTTTAATCAAATTGTTTTCTTCATGATGTTGCACGTTTATAGATCAATATAGTGATTTGATATTTCTGGTTCAGTTCTACAAAAGACATAACAATTTACATAAAAGCAAGAAAAATATTAAGAGATAAGTTACAATCATGTATAGCGTGAAACTTTCAAGTAAATAGATTACAGTCAGTAACCTTTACTTGACATTACAGGTCTCCTTGACTCGCACAATCAATGCGACCTCAGTGCTCCTCGCAAATAGAGAGCTACGACCCTCTTATGTAACTATTATTTATCTGATAACTCTGTCAGTTAATTTTAGTTTCTTACTGTTACTGTAAACAAACTGGCTATGTGAGGTGAAATAAATATATTTTGTTCTATTTTAAACTAGGAGTACCCAGTAGCATATTTACCCTCTTATCAATAGCCTGTATTCATTAAGGATAGTCTAGATTTCTAACAGTAACACTAAAAACATTTGTCAAATTAATTTTTGTATGTGTGATGAGTGAATGCAACATGCATGTATTATTTTACATTTTTTCTACTACTTATGTGTCCATATTAAGTAAATTATACCTAAGAATTGAGCAGTGTATTAGGTTTTGTACCATTCTATTCAAATAAATAAATAATTCAAGTTATTTAGTAGTCTATTTAACCCAAACAAACAATCCAACCTTTTCTGAGATCTTTATCATATATTTTTTTAAACAAGTTATTTCTTTTATAATATTTATTTATGAGCTTAGTAACTGATTCAAGAGACGAGAAATGAGAATGTTACCTGCATTCTAAAATTACGAATTTCCGTCATAAGTTTGGCAAATGGGCATGATGTGTGTAATCAACATAAATAAATAATTCTGAATCATGATGACTACCAAACTCATTGGACAGCTGATGCAATCTCTGATTAAACGTTAAAGATACTAGATAGCTGTATCTATATAACTAAGCAATGGCGAAAAGTATTTCTTTACACTATTTTACAAATTAATTTTATCTTATTATTTTCTGGCTACTATCGCTAGCACCTTAAAGTGGTTGTAAACATGTCTTATCTGATAAGTAGTTACTAAGTGCCACTACCTATGTGGTCAGTGGGTGGCTTTAGGTGCAGAATATAAGAGCATTCTAAACATTATTTAAAAAAATATCTAAAATCAATGAAGACTATATTTATGTATGCATGTAAACAAAACATGTATTCCTATAAGAAAATTTAATTTATTAGAATATTATGATGATTTTTTTACTAAACATTTGATATAAAGGACAGTCTCCTCTCTATATAAACATCGATTAAGAAGGAAAAAAGTTAATCAGATACGAAATACTTCCTCATATTAATTGAAGTAGGATTGTAAACAAATCATGGAAATATTCTACCTGACAATAAAAATACAATCGATCGTGGTCGTTGAGGCATAATATTAAGGGCGATGACCTTGGAACCATGGCGTGATAGCAACGAGCAACGGGTTGCCAGTCACGTGGTGGCGTCATAACCTACAATTGATGGAAATACATGCAAAACCCAAGGTACGCAATGAACGTGCAGTGGAATTGTTAAATACCTGCGACCTATGAACTTGATTAACAGTTGCCGGCCGGTAATATGCAGCAAGCCGATTATAGAAGTTCAAATAAGAAAATAATAAGCGGGGAGTGTTGTCCAGACTGCTAACTAATGCAGTTGATTTCATTTTACTACCAGTTCTCCTAACAAAATATTCGAAACTTATATTAAAAGTATTGAACTACAAGAGAAATCGGCAAAATAACCTTCATTGGACCTTCAGAGAAAAGGCGAATATAGTGAGGTTAACCACTCACCCCGATTTGGACGCGTTAGTAGCGACGATACTGTCAATCCTCAGCTTGTTGGCGATGTCTTTCAAAGCCTGGATATCAACGTTCTTGTCGCCTTTCATTTTGAAAATGTTTTAGCGTTATTAAATACAAACAAAAACTATAACCACGTTGTTTACGACCGGTCGCTTGCCCGCCGCCGGATTCAATGACAGCTTCTCACAAACGCCAATCGAAATGACAACGGCTGTCACTTAATTTTTTATCGGTCAATGAACCACAACATTGTCTTAATAATAAGCAACAGGTGATTAATTAAAGTCTTTTAAAACATTTAGTTTCTATTTTTTAATAAAAAGGTAAGGATTTTTAGGATAGAAAATATATTATACTTGGGTTTTTTAATTTATGTCCCAAGTCTATACACTGACATCTATGTTTTAGTCTTGCAACTAACGTTTTAATAAGTTCGTTTTGTTTTATAGAGATGGCGCGTCAAACATCATGTTAATCACGAAATACTTACGTATTGCCCTGTGTTCGTTGAATAGAGAACTATGAACACAATATGGCGAATTTGATTAGTTTAATTTATCACTATTAGGCATTAATAAAATTTTGAAACTACTATTTTATTGTTATTAATTTATTTTATTTGGTTCACCAACAATTGTACAGGTACACTAGTATAATCAAATGAAATGAGCAACATCAGAATAAAATATAACAATCACTAAAAAACTAAAACTAATCTGTGCATGCACAAAAACACTGTTGTTAGTTGAAAGGTTGAAACTAACAACACAATATATTTAACAAAGTTTCACTAAATAAATTAAACTTATATTTTTTTTTACTTATAATTTAATATAAACTTTCGCCCACGGCTTCGCCCGCATGGTATGTTGATAAAAAGTAGCCTATGTCCTATTCCGGAGTATATCCTCTACCTGTGCCAAATTTCATCCAGATCCGTTCAGCCGTTTTGACGTGATTAGGTAACAAACACCCAAACATCCAAACATCGTTATTAATATTTCGCATTAATTATAATATTAGTACGATAAGAAGTACTTAATAGGTTAATTCACACAACCACCGAAATAACGCAAAACTGAGAGACTGTGTTCGGGAAGATACTTAAGAAAAGTAAGTAGCTTCCGATTTGCTTAAACTATCCAAATGAAAATTGATTTTATCATTGCAATCGTTGACAACCCTGCAAAGCCTCGCGTAGGGCGAATTTGCACCCAGAACTGTTTTTCTCTGCCGAGGGCGTTATAGAACTGCGAGACATTTTTGAGAGGGCACGGAAGTTAAAGTTGTTTAATATTTGCGGACAGTCGATTTTGTGGGCCGTAACTTTGCAGACAAACATCGCGTCATTCAGAAGTCGTCGCTTGTCCAGGGAAGTTATATTAAAGTGTCTGTGCATATCACTATCGGAAGGAATCTCTTTGGAGAAACCGCAGGTATAGGACAGGTGAACCAGAAAACTTTTTTGTTAAAATTTTGTTTAACAATGGAGGGTACCTACTTACTGTTTTTGGAAATTTTGATAGGAACAAACGTGTGATTAGTGCTGTTGATGACGTTATAAAAGATCTGCGCCATATCACACACGTAATGCTGTCCCTCAAATAATTTCTCCCAGTTTTATTTATTTTTTAGTTAAAGCTTTTCTTTTTTTCGGTTCTTCTAAGGTTTAGTTCGGTTCTTATAAAGTTTTTTAATTTGTATAGGTACAAGTATAACTTGACGAAGTGCATATGGAACATAAAAATTTCGGTATTGAAAACGCTTTATTTAAAGCTTTAAAAAATCAAATTTGTACTACTCTTGCAGGCACGGCACTAGGTTATTTTTTTTTATGTAATTGGTCGGCAAACGAGCAGACGGATTACCTGATGGTAAGCAATTAGCGCCGCCCATGGACACTCGCAACGGAGGAGTTACGAGTGCGTTGCCAACCTTTTAGAGATTAGGGATTTGGAGATTTAGGGATTGAGGAGGGATTGGGGACGGGGAAGGATTGGGCCTCCGGTAACCTCACTCACACGGCGAAACACAACGCTGTGGTTGTTTCACGCCGGTCTTCTGTGAGGCCGTGGTATCACTCCGGTCGAGCCGACCCATTCGTGCCGAAGCATGGCTCTCCCACACTTGGTATTTTAGGTTTATGAACGTACCGTCAACGAACGCCTCACAATATATTTATGAAAATGTAATTCACGCTCATAAAAACAAAAGCTTATTTAAGAAGCATAGTGATATACATAATATTAACACGAGGGGGAAAAACAAATATGTTGTCCCCGCCTCCAGGCTTCAGAAAATAAGTAGTTCGTTTAGATGTCAATGTATACGCTTTTACAATAAAATTCCTAGGGATATTCAAAATTTGAGCCTCAATAATTTTAAAAGTGTAATAAAGGCTAAACTTTACTGTAAAGCATTTTATAAAATAAAAGACTACTTAGAAGATAGTCAGGCTTGGGAATGAGCCGCTGTAACTTTTGCACAGGTCATGTTGACATGTTTGTAACATAAGTTACGCTTTTTATATACAATTTGACATTACGTTTATTTTTTTAACAATGACATTATCACCTATTGTGACATTTTTATTTTTATTTGACATTTTTTATTTTATTTATTATTTTTATAATTATTTATTGACATTATTACATATATTTATTAAAATCGCTCTAAAATTACATTTTTAAATATTACTATAAAATAAAATAATATTTAAAAATATAAAAGGTTAGGAGCCAGCTGGCAGCGGGAGCAAGGTCTAAGCTGCCGGCGGTTAGGGCTCCAGAGACAAGAACATCCTCACAATACGTGCCGTTTCAAGGAGGACTGCGTTCTGTATGAGGCCCTTGATCCATCCGCCTAACGTCAGCCTCTTAAGGTGGTTGTCGAGGCTTTTGGGGACTAACCCGTTTGCCGACACAACTAATCGGCACAACGATAGCCGAGTCCACATTCCACATGTTATTGACATTGTTTCAAATCTCGGCTCTTAGACCGGTTATAATGTCCTTTACGGGCCTAAACCAAGTAAAGGACATGTCATAGGTTGTCTATAGTAACAGTTGTTGTTGACCTATTGTGCCTGTCTGAGGTATTGGTGTGGTTTCTCCTTCTTCTATCTGCATGAATTTTCTGACTATTCGGCATGTATTTAGTATGGCCGCTTTCTGTAATTTAATGTAGGTGCTGTCTTTGATGTTTAGTAGTTTTAGACTGTGATGAAGATGTTTCGGTATTACTCCTGTGGTAGATAGGACAATCGGTACTATGTAGACTTTATCTTGTCTCCAAATCCGGGTTATTTCATCTTTGAGATCAGTATATTTATGTACTTTTTCAGCTATTGTTTTAGTTATATTGTGAGTGTTGGGTACGGCGATATCAATAATATAGGTAATGTTATTTATTTTATCTTGAAGCGTGATGTCAGGTCTGTTAAAATGGATGGTTCTGTCTGTAAGTATTGCGCGGTCATAGTACATCTTGTGTGTAGGGCTTTCTAAGATAACGCTAGGGGTGTATTTGTAGTATGGTGTGTGTGCGTCTGTTATGAGATTGTGTTGAGTGGCGAGTGTCTGGTGAATGATGTTAGCAATTTGGTTGTGTCGATGCGTGTAGTCTGTTTGTGTGAGATGAGGACAAGCTCCAGTGATGTGCTGGATTGTCTCAGAGTGTATGTGACATTTTCTGCATTTGTCGTTCGTAACTGTGGGGTCTTTAATTATATATTTTCTAAAGTTTCTTGTATTTATTATCTGATCCTGAATTGCAATTATGAAACCTTCTGTTTCCGGGAAGAGGGTACCTAACTTTAACCATTTGTTTGACGCTTCTTTATCTATTAGTGGTTGCTCAAGATCGTTGTAGTGACGCCCATGTAGGACCTTTTTCTGCCATGCTTCTTTTAGAATTGTTTCTTCATCACTTCTTGATAGGATACTTTCTACGCAGGGTTGATGTAAGTTAAGGGGTGTATAATTATGGTCATTATTTATTACAGCTTTGTGTATAATACTGGTTAAGGATTTTTGTTTAAAGAAATTGTGTAAAGAATTTATTTGCCTTTGCCAAAGGTTTGTGATACATATGAGACCCCTACCCCCGTTTTGTCTTTTAATATTCAGTCTCTCTATGGCTGATTTTGGGTGATGATGGTTATGTTTTGTAAGTATGTTATTGACATTATTATTATTTTCTATTATTGTTAGTGTAAGGACCGTGTGAGACTTGCCGCGCTTTTGGACTACCAGTTATCTGCGTTCTGACAGTTTGAGTACTTGCGTGACCCAACCAAATGTTCTTTAGATCGGTATTGTTCGTCGGACAACTCAGCAGCACTTGCTATGCTGGTTGCAAACTGACACTTGCGTGCCTGTCTTCAGAACGGGTCCACTTAAACTGGTGTGGTTCTTTCCTCAAAAGACCACTACAGAATGAACTTGCACGATTCTCTCACATTATGTTATTTTTACATTGTCTGGACTTGAAAAGAGACTGACCTCTGAGTTTGTTTCGGCATTTCTTCTCAGAGTAGTCAGATAGGAAATGCCGGCTTCATCTAGTTTTTTACATATAAATTGACGTGTAAAAGTGCCGTTTTATGGCCTATTTGCAAAAATAAATTCATTGTTTCATTGTTTACCGTAATTTTTTTCACGATTTCAAATGTCGCATATTGTTGTTACGTAAAAATGACACTTCGCATTTAACATTTTATTAAATAGTAACTATCGTGAGCCTACGTCGTGGTGGCCCAGATGTTAAAGCGCATGCTTCTCAAGCGTGAGGGTTCGAGACTGGCAAGTAACAATGTGACTTTTTCCGAGTTATACATACTTTCTATGATCATTTAGACACCATTGACATACGGTGAAGGTAAACATCGTTAGGAAACCTGGACTTATAATTTTAGTTTGAAATCGCCAACCCGCATTGAACAAGCGTGGTGATTAATGCTCAAACCTTCTCCATGTGAGAGAGATACGAGCAGTCCGTTTACCTGATGGTAAGCAATTAGCGCTGCCCATGGATACAGCAACAAACATTTTTTTAGTGGCTCAAGATCAATTAAACCATTTGTATAAGTGTTTACCCAGTGAACTATCCAACACTTTTTTTAAGGGGGGTTTTACTGGGATCATTGCAAGCTGTTCCTCGCTCGTTTAGTGAACTGTTGATGGAA